CTGTAAGTTCTCTTTTTAAAATCACATTTAAATTTATTTTACATAAAGAAAACTAAAATCTGCAGTTTAATTTGATGAAATAAACAAAACGAATGTTTTTACCAGTGAATTAAATGTATCTGTTTGTTCTAAAATGTTTGGATTAAATCACTGTTTGGGTTTAAAGCAAAGCGTCAAACTGCAGCTTTAAGTTCAACTGATGCAGTCATTCACTGTTTCTGACGTCATGTTGAAATAAAGACTAACTGCTCTGCTTTATAAATACAGCCTTTAACGGACAAACAGAGCTGTAAATGTGGCTGTTTTATGTTCGGAACATGGTTTTCATGGACCGGAACCCGAGCTCATCCCTTTGTTTATAACAGCCCTGTTAGCATGATGCTAACGGCTGCTAGCAGCAAAGATGGAGACCTGAGGCCGGTTTTTACTGAAGATGACCGCTAACAGTCAGAGACAACAGGTCCACTTACCTCTGACCCCACCATGTAAAAGTCTCCATCTTCTTCAAGCTGAAATTTAACCGGTTTCTGACCAAATGTTTTACTCAGAGCTAGCTGCATCTCTGCGGACTCGCTAACAAGCTAACAGAGCGCTGCAGCGAGCGTGTTCAATGTCTCAACGAAAAGTAGGAAATGACAGCTTTCTTCATTCAAAACCAAAAAAAAAAAAAAAAAGACCCACCAAAGAACCGTCAAATCAACCTACTGCTATAACTTTATAAATGAACAATCCTAACCACATATACTACTACATTTGTTTAATTTTAGAGTGATAGTTTCTAAATACTTGAGATTTTCTGATTGTCATGAACGTTTCATCAAACTGACACTAATTTCAACGCATTCAAAGTCTTAGGATAAAATAGGAAATTAGAGTTTTCTTCGTTCAAAACAAAAAAAAAGACTCACTACAGAACCGCCAATCAAATGTAAACTGCTTTAAATTTATGAATAAATAATCCAAACTACAAACAGGCCTGCTGCTACACTTATATAAAACAGGAAATCAGACTTTTCACATTCAAAGAAAGAAAAGATTAAAACTCAATATTTTCAGCTCTTAATGATGGTTTCTGTTCTAAATTACAGAGCCAGCGACAGGACGTGGAGCTTTTATTTTCTTTTGAGTTCCCTCACAAAATTCATTTATCACTGTTGTGTTTACTGGTTTATTAACAAACTCACACGGTCACCATTAACGAGTTAAACAACAATATTAATTCAGCTTCCAAATGAGTATATTACACAGCCACGCATGGAAGTACGATATTTTTAACACAGTGCAGCCACGCAACATCGCTGTCCCTTTCACGAACTTGTAGCGACACATCCTGATTTGGTGACCGAATATTTCAAAACAAAAATATGATTGAATTCAGTTCATGCAAAACAAACTTTTGCGTGGTAACGCAAAACAAATTTGCGAGGGAGTGCAAAAAGTATTGTGAGGTAACGCAAAAATATTGTAACGCAAAAGTATTGTGAGGTAACGCAATCGTATTGTGAGGTAACGCAAAAGTATTGTGAGGTAACGCAAAAGTATTGTGAGGTAACGCAAAAGTATTGAGGTAACGCAAAAGTATTGTGAGGTAACGCAAAAGTATTATGAGGTAACGCAAAAGTATTTTGAGGTAACGCAAAAGTATTGTGAGGTAACGCAAAAGTATTGAGGTAACGCAAAAGTATTATGAGGTAACGCAAAA